TATATATTTTAAATATTATACATTATACAGATAGATATATTTAGTTGACATATCAGTTTAATTTTATATTTTAAAATTTATAGATTAATACAAGTAAAAGAAAACAGAAAGAGACTRWTTCCCATAATACAGTGTATTATATTATGTGGCCGAGAAAACATTCCTTTAAGGGGACACAGAGACTTTGGATCATTTAATATTGATGGTTAATAAAATTTTTTTTTTATTTTAAAATTCTTAAAAATAAATTACAATTATTTATTGAATACATTTAGATGATCAATATAATGAAGGCAACTTCCGTGCTATATTAAAATATCGAGCTAATGGAGACGAATATCTTAAATCAATACTTGAAGGTTCAGGCAAAAGAAACAAATACACAAGTCCAGGTGTACAAAATCAAATAATAGAAGCCTGCAATAAACTTATTTTAAAACAAATTGTAGCCAAMGTAAATGAATCTAAATGTTTCTCCATTTTGGCGGATGAAACAACAGACATATCAAATATAGAGCAATTATCACTCTGTGTTAGATATGTTGATATCAACAACAGGTTAAATGAAGATTTTCTTCAGTTTGTACCTATTCATAGTTTAACAGGATCTGATTTAGCGGCATCAATTTTACAAGGTTTTAAATCTACTATTATTTTTTTAATTTATTTTAAATGGTGATGGTATTAATTTTTATTAATTGATTTAATAGGATTAAGTGACTGTGGAATAAATTGTGAATATATGTATGGGCAAGGCTACGATGGAGCTAGTAACATGGCTGGTCAATTTAAGGGAGTTCAAGCAATTATAAGAAATAAATATCCGAATGCACTATACGTATGTCCATTGCTCGGCACATTCTTTTAACCTAGCAGTTTCCTCATCTTGCAACATCAAACCCATTAGAAATTGTCTTGGTATTGTAGAAAAACTTCATGTTTTTTTTAATACACCTAAAAGGCATCACGTTCTATTAAATGAAATTGAGAAAAATGATTCCACCCCTAATGTTAAAACTTTAAAAAGACTTTGTGCCACCAGGTGGGTACAAAGATATGACGCACTTAACGATTTTTGCGAATTATATAGTTTTGTCCACCAAGCATTAAGTTTTATAACTGCTGAATGGAATGATTCGTCAGCAACTGATGCTGGTATGTTATTGAAATGTATTCAAGATTCTGAATTTTT